GCTCCCCTCAGCCTCTCCCGCCGGCTCGGTGACGGGCACGGGGTAGAGGAGCGTGCTGTGCTTTTGCGCTTAGTTGCCATCGGGTTTCAGCATCATGCTTACGTACAGTCTGTTATCGCCCACAAGGAAGTTTATTTTGCTCGTGTGTAGTTGATTTTTTATTTTATTGCTGTAGGGGTTATAAACCGACGGAGTGATAAGGTAGGCAGAGCTCAGCCAGGATCAGCGGTCGGTACACCATGAGTGCATCTGATTCGGGGATAAAGAGCAAACTTTGTCATCACAAGCAGTTCGCAGTCTGTCGTGGTGGTGTCCGTCAGCTAGAAGCACAGGGGAGTTCTGTCCCTGTTACGAGGAAGTACTTGAGAATGCTAAATAAATACAAATGAAGTAACATCTGTTACGTGCAGACTTGATTCGTTCTGTTGTGCTGTGAGGTCAGCCCGTCGTTCTCCTGAATAGTGTGAATCCCCTAATAAGGCTCCTGCTTTTCAGTCCTGATCACTGGAGCAATATATAGTTCTGCCCTGCTTCTGCAGGTGGTGTGGCAGACCAGGCAAAAATGTTTCTCTTTACTTAGGTCTTAATGGCCTTTTATCTATCAGCTGCTGGTTAGATGTTTGGAATTTAAAAGAAATGCTAACATTGCAATTTTTCTTGAATGCTTCCTGCACCTTGGAACCTTGGAAGAAGCTTACCCTCCACATGAAAAACACTTTCAGTGCTTTCCTTTGACTTCACATTATTACAGCTGCAATCCCAGCCCTTATTTTCTCAGTTGCCCATGTAGTAACGCACATTCCACCTCAAGAAAATTTGAAAGACGTTTTTCATGCCGATTTTCAAGCACAGGGACTGTAAGTTTGCATCGTGTAAGATCTCTTGTCCTTACCAGGCCTTGGAATTTCCATTTGCTGCATATCTGTTTGGAAAAAAACCACCATTTTTTAGGTGGCTGTGGACACTTTTTTTTGTATAAATATTTTATTTTGCACTTTTGCCTTGCCATGGGTCTGGCATGCCGTTTTGTTCTCTTGCCTTACACAAAGGGTACTAGAGTCTGGCTGTCATCATTGCCTGTTCTGTTGTCGGGTTAATGCCTGAGCGCTCCACGCGTGCTCTGGTCTAAGCAAGGACGAGACTTGAGCGTTTGTACAAAACTGCTAAATGAAACACATAAACAACTTTTCCCTTATGATTTCTACTACTAACTGCCAAAGGTGTCTATCTTTTGTGATTTTCAGGTTATACAGTTGCAGAAATGTGAATCTAATTATTTTCTGTATTGCCTTGCCTTACAGGTTGGCTTGCAATCAGCTTTGCTAATTCTTCCAGGGCGATAACTTTGCCATCAGAAATGGAGTACAGGACTCAGCTACCACATCCTGAGTGACCGAATCCTTTAATACAAAATGGAGAAGAAGCGTAGAAAGAAATGAGCCTGTTTATTAGGCTTTATCTCAAAAGACCATGAAGTCTCTACTTATTTTGGACACAGCTTTAAGAATATCCAGTTTATCAGCACACTGAAGGCAACGTTTACTGAAGGAAAAATGAACTAGTTTATAAAGAAGAGTGATTTCAATATATGGAATTTTTGGAATGAAACCGTTTTCTTCTATGACCATGAAGTTTGCAAACATCTGGTTGGTTCTGGTTGTTATCTTACTCTGTGGCAAAAACCACTTTGGTACCAGACTAGGGAATTCTTCTCACGAGGCTCACATATGTCCTGAATGTTCTCGTCTTACTCTGAAAGTGGAATTCACTTCGACAGTCGTGGAGCATGGTAATAAAGAGTTAAGCAGTGAAAAAAAAAAAAGAAATCCATGTGAAGTTCAAGCGTGTGTTGCAGATTTGTGGTGTTTGTGCAATTGTAACCTTCAGAGTTTCTGTAGAGGCATGTCATCTGCTAAATTCTCTGTATTCAAAAAGAGAAACAGACTTTCTCAAAGGTCTTTGGTTTAACTGGAGGCGATTCAGAGAATGAGAGAAGGAAGAGATGGGGGAAATAGAGGCTGCTAAAAGTGAAAACGGAGTGTGAGGGCTCAGCTGGGCAAGTCTGGTCACTTTGTTGTGTTTAGTAGCTGTTTCGACCTGGCCGGTGGTATGGTTGAGGCGCGTTTATGCACTGTAACCACCAGTGGGCCTTAAAGGGGTGAGAAAGGCAAAAAATCTCTGTGGGTTTGTTCAAGAAAAGGTTTGGAAGCGCTAACACGTGCGTGGAAAAATTGTATAGATAATTTAAGGGAGAGAGATGAGAGGCAAAGTGAGGCAGATACCACTGCTGAGATGGCAAAGGATAGCAGCAGGATGCCTTGACCCTGCATCCACTTACTGCCTCAGGCACTGGTAGTATTCTCACAGTGAAGCTGTGTGTGTGCCTGGGTGCTTACAGGCAGCACATCAGCAAGGACATTTCTGTGCGTAGTTAGCCAGAGACTTCCTGTGGTGAACGTGGTGGTGTGCTGTCCACTCACAGATCGCTAACCTGGATGAGGGCCTGGGCTGTTGGGACTGGCTTCGTTCTGTGTGTGTGTCGTAGCTGGTGTCGGTAATTTGCATTAAAACTCAGTACCGTATAGAGGCTAAGTGTCCTTAAATCGTACATGTGAAGAGGCATGTTGAATTGGCATATCAAGCAGTTGTTTGTGCTGCTGGATGTAACAGTAAGTCTATTCCCTCTCCCCACATAGTTTCACCTTCCCATGAT